GTTTAATATGACAAGATTGTATGGAAAATCAACTTCAATTGTATCGACGTTTCGATGTAAATTCTTCCACCGTTATAGAGTGAATATTTGTATTTATAAATACACAATCGCTACATTTATAATAGATAAGTTGATCATTCATAATATCTTGCCATTAGTTAGACAGCAATCAACCGACAGTAATAGTGAATATTGGTTTCGACTCTATCGGGCGTGTATTCTAAACAAGGAGTCGCTCATGTGCATTATAAAACCGTTACCCTACCGTGCACAGTACCGTTATAAACGCTTGTCCAAATAACAGTCAGCTTAACAAGGTAAACAACCACGGCAACATCAAAGAGTTAGAGTGACTACGCATACCCGCATATCACAACCATGACGTCATGTTCTGACATAATAACGCTCATAAAATCAGGCCCGTGTATCAATGTCACCAAGCTGCAATTTCTTTTCCGTGTTTTCGATTGAATTGTTTATAGTTTATAGCAATTCGATGTTCTGCACGGTTTGAAGTGAACTTTTGCTGCTGCTTCTGTTTGTATAGTGACGCGTATAAGTACCGCTGTGACATCGACTTACGTGTCAGACAGAGCCTCAACATGGAACCTTCATTTCATGCCTTGCCTGGAAAAGCAGGTACATACTTGACGCTAATTATTGTAGAAATAAAATATGGTTTCCGTGTTTGCAAATATTTGATTTTGGTGGGAAAATGTCACAATGAACGTCCCCGAAACGTAGCAAAAATTAATCGATTTGAGTCCAGGGACATTCCAGTGGACAATTGTTCCCTCTCTGAAGGTTTCTCTTTATAGTCTGGCGAACACGCCATTTCAAAATTGAGATAGATCATATAACTAAATTAGTAGAATATTAGAATTAGAGTATAAATAGAGACTATTTGTCAATATCGTACATATGATATTAGTCAAACACTGTTGTGTCGAAGTTGAAGGGAACTACGTAAATACATCGAGTTATACGATGTTCGACACAACAAGCTGTGACACCAAGTTTATTGGAATGCTTCACGGCATCAATAACTCTATCCATTATAATGATGATATGGGTGGGTGGGCGGGGCATAAAATACACAGGCACGGGTATGATGCTGACGAACCGATGACCGTAACCAGGGCGAATCTGTGATTCGAACTCACGATAATAGGATCCAGATACACATAAGGGAGGCAACTCTGCACAGATAATGACGGCGCCTTCCACTACTGGGAAATCTGTGCGCACCCTTCCTGTAAACATACCAAAGGACAAAGGACTTTTCTCGGTACCTGTCCTACATACCAGTACATTGATTATAGGTCGTTCAAAATGTGTGTGACTATTTGTTGACCATCTCTGCGTGAATTTGTAGGCACATTTGATTGGATAGTCCTCACCACACTTTGCGACCCCATCATTCAAAGACTTAGTGTTGTACATTTGAAGTTTGGTACGGTAAGAGTTAATATCGAGTGCCTATAGTATTGTTATCCGTCGTATTTGATATGGTTGAAATTTGCAGTCCCTCCGTACTTGACAGTTCTCATACGTACAATACGCCGATACGCCATTTATCTGGATCACTGCAGTGAGTACTCGAAAAGGACAAATGTAGTCCTACAGTCAGTACTCAAACATGATAAAGTTTTCTTCTTGGCTTATCCTTTTCAGCCAACTGTTTAATCCTTCTCTGGCACTAGTCTAACTGCCACATAGATGATAGAAATCATTTGACGCAACATCCGACGTCTTAAAGATTACCGTAGATTATTTCACGTGACATTCCCTACGAAGAACAAAGATCACAATTTATTGTGCGATACTATAACGATCATTATACACCAGAAACTACCAGTTTTGATGTCGCAACAAGTTTAGTGAACACAGTAGTATATTCTGCTACTCTGTTCCCTTATTTTAATCATTCAGTATACATGTCATTTTTTATAGGTTTTTCAAAACGTTTGTTTTTTACATAATACTGGCTTATTTGAAAACCTCTTGACAACATAATGGGTTAAGAGTTGAAATCAATAGAATACATTACACCTTGTGTTAGGGTGAAAGGCAAATATCCGAGTTGGATAATGTACAATACCATTCCATGCCTTTTATCTTAACGGTAAATTGGATCTCTGTTTTGTCACTTGAAAGATGAACGGCTACAGAAGTAGAGAGGCAACGTTACTTGACATGTGTCGCGTTCACCTGAACTTAAAGCTCTTTACCCAGGGCTGATGTTCGATATAATAGAAAGAGTGTGGGCTATCGACTAGAATATAACAAGAAAGGGAGGCTTATTTATTCCCTTTTCATGAACAAATAGTAGCAGTTGGAAATAAATATGAAACAACACGTAAGGAGTGATTTGTTCTCAACCTTTTTTTATTTTCTGCAAAATTACCATCCCACCTGCAGAAATCCTCTTGAAAATATGGATTGACGGATGTTTGCCTCGTTTGTAAGTTTTACAATACGACACTGCGGTGTCACCGGGTCGTAAAACTAGGCTAGTCACGGTCTAGCGGCCACACCGCTTCCCTCTCTTTTTATTGCCCGGAGTCGTCACCGCTCGGCAAAGTCCGGCGGGCGCCGTACTCTGGTGTCCTTACGTTCATTGTTTTAGAATTAGTGACCCGTACAATTTATTCTCCAGCGGTGTAATTGTAAACTTTTAACCTGTATTGATTTGATATATGTTATCTTATATATGTATGCAAACTTATTCATGTTTTGAAATTGTTTTAGTAACTTTGATTTTCACGCAGTAGCGGGATTATTCATTCCTGATAGATATTTCTCTTGTATTCATGGTCATTTTTGCTACCTCAATAATTGCACCTATCTGGTTGTAATCGTTAGTGGTACCGTTGGATAGCTTATGTTCAGCGCTTTATTTTGATACTCACATCGTCTGTATTGGTTAAGTAGTTAGTTTGCTATTCGGGTTTTCCCTATGTTAGGAATCACGCCTTGGAGACCTCCCCAGGCTCTTGTATTCCCACGGCTGACCAAGACAGGTTGTTCTCTACGACGTCCGCGCACACGTATATGACCTTTGACACAATCATGTGTATTTACCTCGCGGTACGGCTAGGCCGTTTACGGCTCGTCTTGCTACTGGTTTGCTCTGGCCCAAACTCAGGTTTTGTTGGTAAGTGGTTATGGATCAGTTTTTTTCTCTGGTACTGACCTACTTTGGTGGTATTGAGCTAAAACTAATTGGCTAAGATATTTTATTTTTGTACCCCATTTTTCTAGTAATGTGGATAACCCACTTTCCTGTGATTACTTAATTTAGGTCAAAGTCAAAGTTAAAATTAGTTTATTTGTGTGTAGCCCGTATACAAGAAATGCAATGTCAATAATACAATGTGAAGCACATTACATTTTACGACCTCGTGTCTTTTTTGTATGCATGATATACATAATATTGCAGACGTTTTGATAACTCATCCTGGGTTGTACAAAATAAACATTTGAATTTATATATAGTTGGAAATTTCCAATACAATTCTGGCAAATAAACTTTACGCAGTTCAATATAATGTTTTCAGATCAATACGAAATGCTATTCATCGTCAACAGACATATTGCAAACAGGACCCGTACGTGTCAACGCACATGTTGAATTGGGGAATTTGTTCTTGGGGGAATCAAGGACAAAATCAACATCACTGTCCCGGAACGTTTTAGACACAACATGTAAACAATAAACAGCAAATACACAATGAGCGGAATACCTGCTCTGACAACACAAACACAGCAATGAGCGGACCTTCCAGCTCAGGCATACGTGCAGTTACAGTAACAGTTACACAGTTCAATGGTTCATACTCCGGGCCTGCATGATCCTCCAAAGTGATCATGTATATCAGTTCTCCCATTCTTAGTCACTGTGACCGCCTCTGTGGGGTAGTGGATAGCTTCTGCACTGAGCGATCGGTGGATGCCCGGCCACGTCATACCAAACGATGGCAAAAGATGGTACTTGTTGTTACCCTGCCTGAAGTTTGGCATTAAGGGGATAAAACAAGGACTGTCGCCTCGGAGTCAGAATAATGTGTCTGGGTGGGATATTCATGTTCGAATGCGGTATGGTATCTGACTATCAAACCGGCATTAGTCCAGGCTAGTAAACAGCCACACACACATGCACACACACGTCGCTTTATAACTGCAATGATCTTGAACGCGACGTTATATCTCATTTCACCTCTTAGTAATTGTACCTAACTAACTGACTGCATGTCGTATGTTTTCGTCATATAAAACAGTTATATCAACAAATATCAACAAATTATTTTCCGTGGACCTCATTTATTTGGTCCACGGAACCATCTACCTCAAATATATGGTTGGTAATCAACATATGCACCAGTAGACAGACATGGTCACATAGTACAATGGTCATGATACTAAATATTTTGAAACATTGTCAGTATATATTTCAACTTACTGACCATACTTTTAACACATATCTAAACTAATTTTGACCAATGTTTATGCTATGGCGTCTGAAAGTTTATATGTAAACCAATTTATAGGAAACCTCCAACATATATCTATGAAACTAGTCTTGTTCTTCTTACAATGGCATAAACAAATTGCAAGTGATTCCATGGCGTGTGGCTAACCAATCAAATGCGTTTGTGTTTATGTTCCAATAAACCGAAAAATAAGCCACGCCCACTAACTGTCTACTGTTTCCTTATTGGCTGACAATATAATGGCGCGGGGCTTGTATTGTATTATAGCGCTAAACGATGTCATTGATGTCTACAGGTTTTTTGTATTAATGATTTAAAAAGTAGTCTGTGAATTTATTGTATATCAGAATTGACTTTAATTTGTGCTCCAGGGTTTACTGTGTGTGCATAGTCTTTACGCTTATACCTCCATCAACGAAAACAAATATTAAAATCGATTCTTACACGAACTCATTACAGTGTTATAAAGTCTTTACTATGTTATTAACTCATCCTTCTATGTTGTAGAAACGAATATATGTTGCCGATATGTGCCTCCACCCACGCCAAGTAAGTATAAACCTCCACAAAACCCAAGATTAAATTTGGAAAGTGTATCCACATACATCCACAGAGTGTATATTTGTTGATAAAAATGTACTTGTACCCTTAATGCTTGAAATATGAGAAACAGGTGACAGTGTTGTGAGTAGCCAGCATGAGTGTGATGTGTGACATGGGCAACGTCAACCATGCTTAGAATTAGGACATGAGACAAATGTTGCAATTTCACATATTGGTAGCACCTGGAGAGACCAAGAGATATGCTGATTTTGAGATTACTATGCGTAAATACATTCCAAAAATATTTGATAGACTTGTCAGAGTCGTAGCTTTGTCTTAGAATGAGGCACAATCCAAGAAGGCCGCAAAAAAACCCAAGACAATTCATGGAAAATAACTTCACATAGTCACAATGAAATCTACAACTCTTAAACGCTGCATATGTCATGCACTTATAATTCCAGTTCACAAACACACAATAATCTGTCTATATTATGAATAGTTTATTCATTTTATTCAATTGTTGCGGCCACCTTTTCAATGTCTGCGAATCTCTCACGATTTACACTTGATATACAAACTGCTGTCAATATCACTGTTCACTGTCAAGGTCAGAACAAAAACATCTGTGTCATCTGCGGTGATTACTACACATGGTGATGGTGCCAGTGTCTGCTTCCTTTGCCAGCTTGAAGGACAGGCCATGGTACGCATCAAATACTACATAAAAGCGATGACTGGCTGTCCCCACATGTAGAGCTGATGTAGGACTTCTTCTCACCAGGAGTTTTCTGTACAGGACTCGTTCCATCACTCACGCGAGTCGATGGTCACTGCTGACGAATCATTTTTTCTCGAAATGACTTGCCAATGTCGTCGTGTCGTGACCAGAGCAACGTACCAAGGGGCAGAGCTAATACCTTATGCATGTCCAACTTCCTGCTTTGTGCAATGATCATCATGTGGCCAAACAGCTTGTGGTCAGCTTTGAGCATCGTCGCTATGTTTGATCCTTCTCTGCTTACCTGTGTGTGTAAAAGTCTTCAAGTTATGTTCTTGAAAAGGTTCAAGGACTTTTTTGTTAGTTTTTCAATCCTGTTCTCTAAAAAAACCTCACCTTGCTTTTTGATCAGGAGGAACAGCAGTAGCTGTGGAAATGCTGATCAGTTCGGATGGGTTTCTATGAAATGGATTGATCCATTCGTTTTCCATCAAGTTTGTAATAGACTGAACACCTGACAAATGCTTGTAGTGACAATAGCAAGTTGTGAGTAAATATCTGAGTGTGCTTCTGGTATTCTTGTCATTTCTGTGTAGTACACTTAGAGGGTAATTGACTTTGTCTTACGCAAAGGCAATTACATGTAGTTCTCTGTAGTATCAGTCTCCCTCTCTGGAGGACCTGATGAGACCAAGAAACATCTCTACCATGTCCACATGTGACATCTATAATTGTGCAAGCTGTCCAGCTTCAATCCTTAAAGAGGTAAGGTAATCATTTAAGGGCTGAAGTATCATGCCACGCTATACATTCTACAGAAGATTAGTGAGGCATTTGTATGTTGTGGTCTGATGCAGCTGACAAATCAAACTTTGAATGTCATCCAGTAATGTTGATTTAGATAGCTGCTTCTCCTGACACCACTGAAACCTTTCCAAGCAAGCCTAAGAAGTGCCGCATGCACTAACGTGTACAGTCCCCTAGTGTACTGTCGGCCGTCCATGCCACTGTCAATAGATGTACAGCGATTATCTCACCCTCAACAGCAAGACCTTGGAGGCCACTGTCTTGGAACCTCTTCCCAATTATCCCTAAGAGATTACATGTTGTGTGAAACACACCCATTCTGAGCCCTATGGTTTGATATTTCGCAGGGTTTTTCCATGTAATTTCATCTGCTTTGGCATAGACACGCAAACTGTTTGGGTTTTTTTTTCAAATGAAGAGATTCTTAGATATTTAGGGCCTGGCCAAGCACTTCATTTTTAGTACTCACAGAAGTTGCAGGAGCTTTGATTGTAGATAGGTAACCTCCTGTGTCCTTCGTATCAGAGACTTGGTCACGTGTCATTATATAAAAAAAGAGTCCATGCGTTGATATCTTGTCGAGATGTGTTCGTTGGGCAAGCAAGAGACAGATCCAGTTTTTCAGGTGATCCTCCTTTACATCATAAATACTGTGAACTGGCAAAGGCTTCATTGCAGATGGGCAATTGCGATCTCCGGCATTGTAAGGTGGAAGCAAGACTGATGTTGATGGGATTCTTGCCCTTTTTGTAGGCAACGGTACAATCACCTTTGCTGGTTCAGCTGTATGTAGCCGGTGAGGCACCACTAATAAATTCGAGACTTTTACTTACGTTTTGTTACAGAATGTATTGTTATTGTTAAAGTAGTGCACATGGCAAATGAAGGATATATGTAAGTATTCATGGTCGTTTAATCTTAATATGATGTTACTAAAATACAACTGCAGAGACACTTTGTTATATCGTGACCTATTGGAAGTTGTTTTTATAAAAACAGCATTTGGTGGGGGTGGGGGGTGGGTTGGGGGCATTTATGGATTGAGCCTCATTCTGAGACTAAGCTACCACTCTGGAAATTCCATCATACATTTTCGGCTTGTACATACATAAGTCAATAAATGTTCATGTTTACATTAGGGATAAAAATTTGAACCTCAAAGTTTACAATCACGTCACAGTACCCGATGACGTAATTTGTGGAATTTTGTTGCAAGATCCATCGGCGAAACAATGCCATGTTACGTCAGCTGGGGTCATCGAGTGTGCATAAGTTCCTCTCAGTGATCTATCATCTCCACCCGCAATGTCGTTGAATAAGCCAAGGGATGTCGAGAGCTTTCAATATTTGTTCGTAAAACGTGTTCCGAGAGTACATAAGCACGCGTCTTGGTATTACACAATGTGTAATACAGCTGTATGTTTATTAAACGGGTGATCTCTTCACGGGCAGGTAATAAAATGATTTATTTATCACTCATTTTTAGTGTATATTATGTATATTTTAGTTGATATACCCTGCCTTATGAGAGATAACAGTATGTGTGAACAGGTGTCTGGAGAGAGGACGTGTTAAAGAATATCGGGGGAAACAAAATCTAATACTTCAAACTTGTATTTTCTGTTTTAGCGGGCATCCCTCGTCTGGCGGTTGCGCAGGGCAGTGTCATCACTATGTTTAACTACAATGGCACCAGTGTTCTAACGATCAACACTCAGGTGCGAGCAATGTTTTACCATCCATTCCAAGAGCGACTTTACCTCGGTACCAATCCCCTCACGTCAGTAAAGCTGAATGGCACGGACGAACGGACGCATGGGAGCACATATACAGGTTATATTGATGTCACGATACTTTCTCATGATCAGCTTCCTTGTGTATATTTTAGTGAAGTGGGAATCCTCGTTAATCCGGACAATACTGAACTCAGTGAAATCGCACGGATCTACAACGAATCCGGGGTATTAGGTATTTCCATTAGCATGTATGCAGATAATCCCAATGGTGAACGTCTAGAAGGTTGGGTTTCGATCTGTGGATCAACAAATAGTAGTGACTGTGAGTTGTTCGTCTCCACTTATCTGTCTGCATGTCGGCTCGGTGTCCATCAGACTACATGGACCACAGTACCGTGTCTATTTGTCCTTCAAGTCGTCATGGTGACGCCTTACTACTTGTCCGTTTGGTGGTTTTTATGTTGGTAGTGTGTCTATTTGACCTTCCAGTCGTCATGGAGACGCCTTACTGCTTATCTGTCGCCCTGTCCGTCACAATGTCAGTACTGTGTATATTTGTCCTTCCTGTCGTCACGGTGACGCCTTACTGCTTGTCTGTCTCCCTGTTCGTCACAATGTTACTACTGTGTATATTTGTCCTTCCTGTCGTCACGGTGACGCCTTACTGCTTGTCTGTCTCCCTGTTCGTCACAATGTTACTACTGTGTATATTTGTCCTTCCTGTCGTCACGGTGACGCCTTACTGCTTGTCTGTCTCCCTGTTCGTCACAATGTTACTACTGTGTATATTTGTCCGTCCTGTCGTCATGGTGACGCCTTACTGCTTGTCTGTCTCCCTGTTCGTCACAATGTTACTACTGTGTATATTTGTCCTTCCTGTCGTCACGGTGACGCCTTACTGCTTGTCTGTCTCCCTGTTCGTCACAATGTTACTACTGTGTATATGTGTCCGTCCTGTCGTCATGGTGACGCCTTACTGCTTGTCTGTCTCCCTGTTCGTCACAATGTTACTACTGTGTATATTTGTCCTTCCTGTCGTCACGGTGACGCCTTACTGCTTGTCTGTCTCCCTGTTCGTCACAATGTTACTACTGTGTATATTTGTCCGTCCTGTCGTCATGGTGACGCCTTACTGCTTGTCTGTCTCCCTGTTCGTCACAATGTTACTACTGTGTATATTTGTCCTTCCTGTCGTCACGGTGACGCCTTACTGCTTGTCTGTCTCCCTGTTCGTCACAATGTTACTACTGTGTATATTTGTCCGTCCTGTCGTCATGGTGACGCCTTACTGCTTGTCTGTCTCCCTGTTCGTCACAATGTTACTACTGTGTATATTTGTCCTTCCTGTCGTCACGGTGACGCCTTACTGCTTGTCTGTCTCCCTGTTCGTCACAATGTTACCACTGTGTATATTTGTCCTTCCTGTCGTCATGGTGACGCCTTACTGCTTGTCTGTCTCCCTGTTCGTCACAATGTTACTACTGTGTATATGTGTCCTTCCTGTCGTCATGGTGACGCCTTACTGCTTGTCTGTCTCCCTGTTCGTCACAATGTAACCACTGTGTATATTTGTCCGTCCTGTCGTCATGGTGACGCCTTACTGCTTGTCTGTCTCCCTGTTCGTCACAATGTTACTACTGTGTATGTTTGTCCTACCTGTCTTCTTTCTGACGCCTTACTACTTGTCCGTTTGTTCGTAGTCATGTCGACACTGATCTATTTGTCCTTTCAGTCGTCATGATGACGCCCTACTCCTTATTTATCTCCCTATCAACCCCAATAATAGTACTGTGTCTGTGTGTCCTTCTTGTCGCCATGGTGACGCCTTACTACTAGTCTGGCTCTCTGTCCGTCCGAATGTTAGTACTGTGTCTATTTGTCCTTCCAGTCGTCATGGTGACGGATTTCTGTCTGACTGTTTCTCTGTCTATCAGTATTAGGTCTACTTGGCTTTCTAGTCGTCAGAATGGTGTCATTCTGTTGTCTGCCTTCATGTCGGTCCGAAACGAGTCTGTTTCTCTGTGTGTCGCCATGGCAATATCTTCCTGCTCTCTGATGTTCCTGTTTTTTTCTTTCAGTCAGCATGTCTGTTGTCCGGTCTGCAGGCATTTGCAAATATGTACGTCATATATATGTAAATCATGACATCATTAGTCAAGTACATAATCATTTGTTGCCAACTCATGTCATTCCGAGTCAATCCAAATCATTTGTGACCAACTCGTGTTATTCCGGGACAAGCCGAAAAGCGACTCGTACCCCTCTTGTGGCCATTTTTGCAACTGGGTTGCGTCTAAGCGCAAACGGGCATAGCTAAAAGAATTGTCAACTTGTAGCGTAACGATTCACGTATATTTCCCCCATGTATCATATATATTCCAGATGCTGTTGAAAACACATCGGTACTTACAGTATTATACAGTATTACTGAACACACTTAACTGTATCTTGGGTATATTTTTCATTATACATGTAAAATCAAATATTATTCTTGAGGGATTCTTTGCCGAAGAACCTGAATTCATACGCGCATTCTGATTGGTGTGTCGTATTTTCGCACATAACATTCATTGATACGGGGACGAGTCTTCTTGCGGGTTACGGAAAGGGACGAGTGGTGACGAATGAATCCGTATAAACTCTCTTGTATGTTACGGAAAGAGGCGAAAGGTGACGAAGGGTGGCGTCATTGTGAATTTGAATCTGGCAGCGTTAACATCTCGGACATGTTTCAGGAACGCTCATGGCGCTCGAGATCGACATGTACGATGACAACGTATACATGTCGGTGAGCAACTACCTCGTGGAGCGACTGGACCCCGACGGTGTCCTGAAAAACATCGCTAACAACGTCGACGTCTATAAACCACGCCAAAGCAGACTAGACACCGTGAATAGGTACGTTCATTCATCATCTCGTCGGAAAGGGCAGCTGAGACCCCGTGTCAATTCGGGATAGACTGTGCCCAAGTATTCTGTGCCTGCCGTATGACGTATAATGTTTCGGGTGGTTAAGCTTGGAACTTGTTTGCGCGGGACGTTAATATAAACAACTGGCTTGATAACTGAAAGGTGTAATTAAAATTCAACTAAAAACGATAATATTTCAAAGTTTGATAGAAAATGGCCCGCATGGTTATAATCACCGCAAAGACACAAAGCGTCTTTTTACTTTGAAAGAGGCGGTCTGGTAGCCCAGTGGTTTAAGCGTCTGCTCGTCACGCCGAAGACCCGGGTTCGATTCCCGACATGGGTACAATGTGTGAAGCCAATTTCTAGCGTGACCCGCCGTGATTTTGCTGGAATATTGCTAAAAGCGGCGTAAAACCATACTCACTCACTCAGTTTGCATGCACGTGTGTGTGTGTCTGCTTGCACTAGTCCGGACTGATGCCGATTGATAGTGCTAACTCGCTGAGATACCATGCCGCAGTTAAACAAGAATACCCCACTCAGACACAGTATACTGACTCCGAGCCGACCAGTCCTTGTCTTAGCCCCTTAATGCCGAGCGCCAGACAGGGTAACAAGAACCATCTTTTAACGTCTTTTTGGTATGACGCGACCGGGGATCGAACCCCGGACCCTCCGCTCTCGGGGCGGACGCTCTACCACTAGACCACGGAGGCGGTCTGGGTAAATTAAAATTAGGGAATGAAAAATAGACGAAGTGACGCATCTAATGTTTATAATTTCTTTGAGGAAAGACATTTTCTGTATTAACTTCTTCAGTCTTCCATGCCATCCTTCCAGATTGTTGTTGATGCGAATCAAAGCTATTTATACTGTAATCACTAAGGTCGATCTCCCGGTAAGACACCGTAAATTCATATTGCTGAGTGCGGCGTTAAACAACAAACAAACATAAGTACTCACACATTGGGAAACTATGGAAGCGTATTAGCGCCATAAGATTTATGATCTACGTAGATAATACTTTCATCTTCGTAAATGATACTTATATCTAAGTAAATGATTCTTTCATCTGCGTCTGTGATATTATAATCGTACATATCGTTTCTCAGACAGTGATATTGTCTTGTGCAGTTGCGACCCTAGATGGATACAAACATTCGTATTTTTAATAAAGGTGATTAGTATACTTAATTACTGTTAATTTAATTAAATGTTTGGGAGCATGTTGGTTGTTTTTGTTCAACGTGTCAAACTATTAGCGCTAAAATAAAACACAAACTACAGAATTCTTCAGTTCTTCATAAGATGATGACGAGTATTGGTTTGATACAGGTTTACAGTTTGAATGATGCTCACCCCTCCTTATTAAGGTTTTACCTATAAATCCGTAATGGAGAAATCATCAAGAGGATCAACATATTCCTCCGGCTGTAACCATGTTATGGATGATGAATAATTTCTAAAAGAAATTGAATAATGACCTATGGCTGTTTTTTGGGTTGTAGTTTGGAGAACAGTTTGTGCTCTCCGCTCTTTATTACGGTTGTGGGAGAGTATGGCTTGTGTCATTCTCCAGTAACGTCGACATATTAAAATGAAGATTTACTTTAAGCAATGTCCAGATAATGCCTCAGTAAAGACTCGTCAAGGTAAAAAGTCAAACAAATCGGTCATTATTAATTAGGCCAGTGGTTATATATAGCTGACCCGGAACTAGGGTCGATTACTCGAGAAAATACTGATACCTCGATGAAAGTATCTTCTACGTGGATGTGAACAGTATCATCTACGTAGATGTATGCATCATCTACGTAGATGATTTATTTTGGACTTTGGCACTAATACGCTTCCATAGGAAACCGAGATTAACATTTGCGGAATATTATGCCAATTATTTTTGTAACCGACATCATATCTTTACTTTTTTTTTAAGTTTATTGAAAGTAGTTCCCACTAGATGACGTCGACGTTATATGTATCGGATTGTGATACCAAGTTTATCGGAATGGTTTATGGCACCAATAACTCTATCCATTATATGATGATATGGATTATCTCGGGGTGGCGTCCAAAATTACATAACCCTTCGAACGAGAACTCTAATCCCGGTTGATAGTGATAAGTTAACCGAATGTTTTCTATATTTGCAGCGTTCTGTACTGGGCTGATGAGGCTCTGCAGACAGTAAAGTCGGTGACGTCGGATGGAGCATCCACTGTGACAACGTTGTTCACGTCCGGAAAGGTCGTTTGGGGCATGGATATAGATTTTAATGGTTTGTATGGAATCGATCAGTCGATCGATACATCTCCCAATCCACCAATCACTCAGTCAGTCAAAGACTCCAACGAAAGTCAGGTTCATGAACTTAAGGTAACCAGATGCTGACACTTTGATCTTGATCATAAAACTGGTTCGCAGACCTTGTGGCATATGAACATGCTAATGTCATGATCTCGACTGCACGTTTCCGAAACATTTATACCTTAGTGGTAGACGTAGGCGTATGGACAAACCATCTGATATAGTGATTACAACACTTTAACGATTACATTTGCCACTTTGAGGGAATCCACGGGCATGGAGAAGATGCTTACATACATTGGATGGGACATAAACTCAGTAGACACACGGTACCACTTGACCACCTTTGACCCACGTTGATCATGCGTTATGACCAAGAACTGTTCGATATAAAACTGTATAGCAATACAAAAGACACAAACAGAAAATCACGTTAAAGTGAATATTGTTATGCGATGACTCATCCTGCCGAAGCACTTTGATCGATTCCCACCATGGTTTCAATGTATGAAGCCCTTTCCTCCTTGCGCCAGCAATGATATGATTGGAGAATTGCTAAAGGCAAAGTAAATATGTTTGATTTTTTACCTTGAATAATGTATGGCTTCGATTTTAATTTTGAGTTTAAGAATTGATATTGATGTGTGAGTTCACTGGAGTATGACGGTTTATGCTCAAGTAAACTCACACCCAATGAAAGTCACTTTTTTATAATTGTTTATATCACTATTTTATGTCCCGAAGGATGTCTACACATTTCCTTAAGTACTTAAGACTTCATGTTTACACTGACAGCCATACAATAACCGTCTGTTGTCGCGCGATTATATACACGGAACATACACGCATGCATGCTCTATTTGCTCTTTTTAGATTTGGTTACGCCAATAACTTTTACGTAACATCATCATTAGATAGGTACTCAGTTAATGACAGTGCGTCGTCATACATTACAAGTACAGAACTTAGAAATAGCCGAAGCAATCAACGTAATGGGATATATTTAAAAGTGTTAACCGTCATCGATCATTCAAAGGTGATTTAAAAGATGTTTATAACAGATACTGAGGTAAATTGATCTATTGCTGTTGACTGTCACTGTCAGTCACAGAACGAGTCGATAGTTTGGGTGTGCATTTCTTCGTTTTGTGCACTGGGATAGCTCGTGACGAGGATATCCGTTACGGGCATGCAGTCAAACTTTCTAACTCTTCCAATGTATATTAAACCGCTAAATAATCAGAAACAACGGCTTCTGTATTTATTCGTGCAAGGAAATTTCCAGGGGTTACCCAGGAATGTAAAAAGTAGCCTGTCAGCGTTCACATCATTTCAAGAAAACAAGCTCGTGAAAAACGTATGAACGTCAACCTGCGCCATTCTTACGCGTATGAACGTCAGTTTCTTGGTCATGTGACCGGCCTCTCGTCCAATGGAAAGCCGAGTATCGTGTAATTAACGTATATGGTTTAACGTCGCGGTCTGCAATATTTCAAGTACATTAAGACATATACAGTGACTGATCGCATGAGCATCGATCCACTCCAGCGGGTTGCGATGACACGCAAGTCACAGACCTACCGAACATTCTCCAGCTGTTTGGCTGAGATATAATATTTATGTTTACTTATACCACTCATCAGCTGATATTTGGCACCGTGTGTACAGTCTGCACAATAAGCTAGAACCGAATATAACAGAACATAACAAATCCTTTGTTCGTATATGCGCCACGGGGAAACCATTAAACCTTATTTTTATATAACATGGTTTAATTCTCTTTTCCCAAACCCATATTTACGGTGTTCGAATTTATTTTTATATTTGAAAAAACATTTTTGTTAGATTAATGCTGTAAAATTATTTATGAATCGGGGTTAAGTAGGAAAAAGCAGAAACAATGACGAATCTTATTCAAAGTGTCATACTATTTCTTTTATTCAACATTTATGATACTTAGGTTCGCGGATCTATAATAACATGAAATACAAACATCTGCTGAGCACGCGAACATCCATACAGCGGTCACGTAAAGGCTACACATATTTGTTCAGTTTAAATTTGCGCGTTTATTTCTAATACTGCACCGAGCGCTCCCAGAGCAAAAACAATAGTTATAAAAATCATTAGATTATGGTTTTAAAACCAGGAACGAAATCACAGCAACAGGCAAAAAACACGAAAACAGTTTTTTTCTCCTTCACAAAACATTACGCAAGTATTGAGTGAAGAGGTAAAACAAATAATGCAGAATGCACAATCTTGAGCGGGTTGATCAGAAGGTGTGATCAATACCACGGGGTCACTGATAACACTAGGTCGAAGCACTGTCATCACATTGCCCAATTACTGTCGATTGTATTAGTAATCTTGTGATGCCCAGAAAATATTCTGTAGATACACGCTCACTTCTTTTAAGGTTTTATGATTAAATTTTCGTTGTTCATTGAAATTCCTGCATTCTGATTAGCTGAATTGGTCACGTGTAATTGCAATAATTTCCAAATGAATGTAACAAATTAAGCCACGCCCACCGAGGCGCACTACTTTTATTACTGCGGAATGTCGGGGAATCCAAATATTACAGTCGAGGGAATTCCCTTTCTGCTCACGTGCATCGTCATGCACAGGACATTTAGCGACATTCATGCATATTCATTGTCCAAACTACCCTTTGAAACCGAAGGCCGAGGATGAATGAAACAGCGAAAGTGCAGGCTCGCTCGCCTGTTTTTTTCCTGCTAGCCTCAACTTTCATGTCTTCGGGTTTCATTTCTAAATAGCATTTTTCCAACTGTGTTTTCCCGCTTTCAGGGAAGTAATGTTTGATTCTGGCGGTAACTGACCAGGTTATGTGAAACAACCGCCTTCTCCCGTAAATATTTCTTCCGGTTCGTTACAGTCTGACTGTTGCAGTTCTTATCGCCTTTTGCCTAAATTGACAAGTCCATTGAACATTGTTTTGACCCTACTCTCCGTTGATTGGCTACTGACTGTGTAGGCATGTCATGTTGTGTGCATAAATTAAACGATCACCTGATTCATGTCACGCCACAGTATGTATTCCTGCACCTGGAACGTTTATTCAAAAAGGCGTGTCTGTCACACACGTGTATCGTTCGTTCGTTCGTCCGTCCGTCCGTCCGTCCGTCCGTTCTTTTGTTTGTTCGTTCGTCCGCTCTCCCGCCCGCCCACCTGCTCGCACGCACGCTCATTCATTCATTCATTCATTCATTCATTCATTCATTCTTTCGACCACCTCCGTGGTCTAGTGGTAGAACGTCCGCCCAGAGAAGGGAAGGTCCAGGGTTCCAACCCCGGCTTCATACCAAAAGACGTTAAAAGATGGTACTTTTTGTTACCCTGCCTGGCGCTCGGCATTTAGGGGCTTAAAGAAGAACTGTTCGGCTCGGATTCAGTATACTATGTCTAAGTGGGTTATTTATGTTCAAATGTGGCATGGTATCTCATTGGGCTAGCACTATAAAATCGACATTAGTCCGGACAAGTACAAGTAGTCACACACACGTGCATGCACGTAGCTATATAAGTGCAATAATCTTGGACGCGACGTTAAACCTCACCCCACCTTACCTCACCTCGTTCATTCATTCATCCCTTCATTCATTCATTCACATTCATTCATTCATGGCATGACCATTCGTCTAAATTGGAGCAGTTGGTTAGCCTAATGGAGACCATTCGTGACCTACTCGTGTTATTCCGGGACAAGCCGAATAATCTTCTTGCAGGTTACGGAAAGAGGCGAGTTGTGACGAATGAATGGAGACAGCACGCTGAAGACCCTGGTTCCATTCCCTGTTTGTCCTGCGCTCTGACATGACTGTTACTATAAAAGCAACATATTCAGTACGGGATAAAATACGCCTCCGAGGTTTTGGTTGAAAATATAAAACCTTGACCTAGCTCGAGATTTTACATTTTCAACCAAAACCTCGGAGGCGTGTTTTATCCAACTTAAATGCAAGAAAAAAACAGAAAAATAAGAAATCATCAACATACCTTATAGTGAAACAATACAATGTATCGCGGTATAAAAGGAATTCGCTGAAAGCGTTTGAGAGAAAAACCAGGAACAAGCATGAACCAGCTGGAGTCATGACGATGAACTTACCAACTTCTCGCAACCTGTCCCGGTGGGAAAACAGTGGGTTAGAAAACTCAGCTCGACACGAGGTTGCAGGTTCGATCCACGTCATGAAAGTTTCATGTTAAATAAAAAGTGACATTTAATCAATCATCAAACACAATTGTGTTCACACCAAGAGTCAAGTTAACGAGACGTCAATTGTAAAACCCAGGTATTACAATTGTAATGTACTAGTATTTATCAGGTCCCAGGCATGCTACCGGAACGCCCCGGGCATTGTTGATATTGCTTGCCTTGAACGTTTACCAACATATTGAAGAACCTTCTGTTACTGTAGTGTGACGTCATCAGAGGTTTATAATTTCAGTTTAATTGTACCACCCATGGAATATATCAATGTACAGATCCGATTTCCCCATCGCTGAAGAAATGTTTCCGCATGTCCACACGATAAAGGCTTTGGCTGAAATATATTTTACTACCGCTGCTACAGGTTTGGCGTGCATTGCGTGACAATATTCACAATTAAGCTACATTAGGAAAGAAGCGCAAGTTTACGATCGCGCGAAACTAAAAATATGTGCAATTACTTATAAATCATAGTTTATACCTCTTTTCCAAATGATCTCTGTAATTACTAGTTGTTACCTCTCAATTCAGAAGTTTGGGATCTAATGATGAATTGAACGCAAATTGGCCTCCAAAGATTGCCCCTGGCTCAATCAAGTACCTCATCTATACTGCCCATACATATAACCTATATTTCCAACATGCATCACCGACTCAGCCTCTATCTAATTGCCGCCTCCGTGGTCTAGTGGTGAGCGTCCGCCCGGAGAGCGGAAGGTCCGGGGTTCGATCCCCGGCCGCGTCATACCAAAAGACGTTAAAAGATGGTACTTGTTATTACCCTGTCTGGCGCTCGGCATAAAGGGGCTAAAACAAGGACTGGTCGGCCCGGAGTCAGTATACTGTGTCTGAGTGGGGTATTCATGTTAAACTGCGGTATGGTATCTCAGTGAGCTGGCACTATAAATCGGCATCAGTCCGGACTAGTACAAGCAGCAACAAACACACACACACACACACACACACACACACGTACATGCACGTCGCTAAATAAGTGCAATAATCTTGGACGCGACGTTAAACCCAATTTCACCTCACCTCACCTCTATCTAATTACAGAGAGGAAGATCTACTGGTGCGCTAAGTCGACGGGTGATGTATGGGTATTCGACATGTCGACCGCCACCAACACCCAGCTGGTCCCCAACGGCGGCTCCGTATCCGGCTCCTGCAGCGGACTACGTCTCTACAACGACTACATCTACCTAATCTACTACAGATTGAAGTGAGTGACCGACATTAATACTTTCTATGTACATCGAACAGTGTATGAGTTAGTTACACAGGTGGCACTGGTGATATTTTAATCACTTTTGTGGAATCAAGGAGCACGGTATGTTTCTATCAGACCAACATCGCATCCATGCGTGGCTAAGGGACGTAACTCTGCACGAATCAACCTTAAACATTAGAAGCAAGATATGTGTTTGGTCATTGGTTTTTTCCCCTGTTTATCATAATATTTAACAAATATTTTGTTAGGACATTCAGCATTTCCGGCTACCAAATCATAATTTTTGGTAAACCTGATGACAATTTCTTTTTCTTTTTAATTTGGAATGAATTATCTTTACAAGAGAAAATCCCCGCGCCAGCACCCTCCCCCTCCCCATCTTGTGATCGGCCTCTGAATCAACCCGTTTACTGATGACAGTTGCTCCCCCACATTTATTTTAACTGTTATATTTGTGTGAGAATTTATAACAAACATTGTTCTTTTTTACAGTTATATTGAGAAGAGGCATAAGAATGGATCCCTAGCTGCGAAAATTCTTGAAGGCCAAATATCAGCATCGACAACAAAATATTTTGCTATTGTGGAATGATGTTTAAATGATTAAACGGGAACTCAACGAGTTCTACAATCAATGTAAATAACCTAGGGCCTCGTAGCATGCATCGTTAGTCTAGGCTAATGTCAATCCCATTACACCAAAAGCTTTAACTCCGATCTTTTACACGTTTACTCTCTGCGTGAAGATCTCGCAATATATCCCGCGGAGTGAGTGAGTGAGTTGAATTTACGCCCCTTGGAACAGTATTCCAGTTATATCACGGTGTGTCAGCCTAACTGTGGGAGGAAAGCGATGCAGGTCTGAGACGTTTACCACGTTGTCGAAACCCGCGAGCACGGGTATGATGCTGACAAACCTAGAAACATAATCAGGGCAAACCGGGATTCGAACCCACAATCATAGTTTTCTGGCATGCCCAAGGGACACAACTCTGCACAGCAAATTGCGGCGCCTTAGACGACTGGGCCACCCGTGCCCCCTCATCTCCCAAGGAGGTCTCGTCCGGTAACTTTCCAATCGCCCGATCATCCTCGAGGATTCTTAATTTATGTACGAGTGGACGAAACATTCAGACCAGAATATCTGTTTTATGCATCTCAAAAACGAAGTTAAACGGCCAGTTCCGGGTGTAAATATTAAAAGCCGAGCCGTTAAATTGTTGTGGATATGTTGTACACGCTTTCGTTTCTGAGCTTAAGGCATCTACGCCCATTAGGGAATACCATATGACTATTTATATTCAATGTGGGTGTTCTTTTATAAAAAGATATATTTCCGAATCGTTTTAGAAAACTCCTTCATTTAGCATGGGGTGTCAACATCCGCGGAAGATTCACACATCTTTTTCGGAAGGGATATATTTCTTCACGCAGAGAGATATCGTATCGAATAATTTTTCTTGATTTACATCTAATTTGAATGACGTACGGGTTTACAGTGGTCTTAGCGCTGAGATCGGTTTGTAGAACCGTGTCCGGAGAAATACTAAAACTTGATTGACTGTGTCCTTTCAACTTTAAAAGCGGGATTAAAAACTGATCTACATAAATCTGTGTTACATATAAACTGCCGGGCAAAAATGTATAAACCCATGTTTCATGGTGCCTAAAATTAACAAAACAGGGAATGGTAATTCGATGGTACCCTGAAAGAAACAAGAAATGGTAATTCGATGGTACCCTGAAAGAAACAAGAAATGGTAATTCGATGGTACCCTGAAAGAAACAAGAAATGGTAATTCGATGGTACCCTGAAAGAAACAAGAAATGGTAATTCGATGGTACCCTGAGAGAAACAAGAAATGGTAATTCGATGGAACCCTGAAAGAAACAAGAAATGGTAATTCGATGGTACCCTGAAAGAAACAAGAAATGGTAATTCGATGGTACCCTGAGAGAAACAAGAAATGGTAATTCGATGGAACCCTGAAAGAAACAAGAAATGGTAATTCGATGGTACCCTGAAAGAAACAAGAAATGGTAATTCGATGGTACCCTGAGAGAAACAAGAAATGGTAATTCGATGGAACCCTGAAAGAAACAAGAAATGGTAATTCGATGGTACCCTGAAAGAAACAAGAAATGGTAATTCGATGGTGATGTATTTGATACGGATATCAGGGTTTTTTTACCTTAAGTTTGCAATGTTTCGGCGACCTTTTGTAATCTTTTTGAATTCGTTTGCCCGGCGGTTTATAGTGTAATGTTACCGCTGTGATAGACACTCATGATATGATATGTATATTATCAATGACAACCATACGTGCTTCATGCACGAACGTTCTTTTCTGTTATGTTGAGAGTTGTATTGTGAGTGAATATAGTTTTACGCCTGTGTTTGAATATATTCCAGCAATATCGTGAGAGGGGCCCCAAATGGTTTTTTATTGTTTAACGCCACACTCGTGTATGACGTCGGTCTGTAAATAATGGACTTTAGACCAGACAATCCAGTGTTTGACATTATGAGCATCGAATCATATCCATGGGATACGATGTCATGCAATCAAACATGTCGAGTAGTCTGACAATCCGATCAATTTAGTCGCCTCTTACGACATGTATAGGTTGCTGGGAAATAAAATTCTAACCCGGAATCCCACGGCGGGGACCAAAGCTGGTATTTGGATGTGACGAGTTGCCGTTTTGACCAACTAGTCTACCCAACCGCCAACAGATCTATTAGCACATGCTGTATATTTGTTTTGTTTGTTTGTTTGTTTTAATGTTTTACGCCACCCTCAGCTATATGACGGCGGTCTTTTGATAGTCGAATCCGACCCAGACAACCCAGTGATTATCATCATGAGCATCGATCTTCGCAGTAGGGATACGATGACATGCATGAACCAAGTCAGCGAGCCTGACCACCCGACCCCGTTAGTCACCTCTTACAACAAGCATGGGTTGCTGAAAACCAATTCTAACCCTTAATCTTCACGTGACACATGTTGTATAAGAAATGTCACAGTGACTTCATCTGCATACGTTTAATTCTATATTATTGGTACTGTATTGAACAATATACTGTTCGTGATCTCGTGGTTGTTTGGTATATAAACTGGTGATGTAAATGTCATGAATACGATGAATAAGATATCTGAATATACGTCAATAAGAAAAATTAATTTATAAACATGAGGTTGAAAAATTGTAAAAATGTGCTGTACAAATGTATTGTATTCGGGGTCAGATTTATGTACACGGGGTCAGATTCCTGTTCACGGAATCATGCATGTGGCTGTCACGCCTGTTTGTATAAATTCATGGTGATTAAAAGGTCGATTTAACAGTCACTGTCCACAGACTTCGTGTTTACCTCGGCGTATTAAGACCGCCTCCGTGGTCTAGTGGTAGAGCGTCTGCCCGGAGAGCGGAAGGTCCGGGGTTCGATCCCCGACCGCGTCATACCAAAAGACGTTAAAAGATGGTACTTGTTGTTACCCTGTCTGGCGCTCGGCATTAAAGGGCTAAAACAAGGACTGGTCGGCTCGTAGTCAGTATACTGTGTCTGAGTGGGGTATTCATGTTAAACTGCGGCATGGTATCTCAGTGAGCTAGCACTATAAATGGGCATCAGTCCGGACAAGTACAAGCAGCCACACAAACACACACACGTACATGCACGTCGCTATATAAGTGCAATAATCTTGGACGCGACGTTAAACCCCATTTCACCTCACCTCACCTCGGCGTACTCGCAAGACAAAATTCCAGGCTTTTACGCGTCAGTGCCCACATGTGCCATGTCACTCACCTTCAGAGATGAAACGACCCGTGTTTGTTCCTTTATTCCGGGTTAGAATTAACCCTTCAGGCGCCATATAACGTAGTGATCATGAGTGCACTGGTGTTTTTGCTTTGAACAATATTCAAGATATATCAGGGTATGTCAGCTAAATGCACAATTGGAAACCTCGTGTGACGTCAACTGTTTTTTATGGGTTGGGCGTCGTCTAAGGCGCTGTGCAGAGTTGTGGCCCTTGGGCACGCCAGAAACTTATGGGTTCGAATCCCGGTTCGCCCCGATTATGTTTCTAGGTTTGTCAGCACCATACCCGTGCTAATGGGTTTCACCGAAGTGGTAAACGTCTGAGACCTGCATCACTTCAGGCTTTCCTCCCACATTAAGCTGACACGCCGTGATATAACTGGAATAATGTTAAAAGCGGCGTTGAACCCCACTCACTCACTCTTTTCGTAAAAGCAACTCACTCACACTCACTCACTCATCTGTTTTTTTCAGAGGTATCATATTTAAGAAATACACGACGAGTGGCAGTTGTTTATCGGACAATAAAACCCAACAGGGAAAAAAACCCATTAAGGGGCGCAGCCCCGAGTGGTTTATTCTTCTTGCAGTGTTATATTGTACCATAAACAACGGCGAGTCGTTCATTTCTAATATGAGATATCAACATTATGTACAGCCTGCTTAAGGATGCTGATAAAATGTACACGCTAAAAAAGAGTTTTCTTAATTTTAATAAAGATAACGCCCTGAATAGAATCCGACCTCGGCAATGTCGGACAAGTCCATTTTATAAACAGGTGGATTAAGTTTGGTATTTCCCGCATATTTTCACAATCCTAACGTCGATAACCTATACATTTTCTCCTAATACCGATTGTCATATCTCTTCCACGTTAGGATGCGATCGTTCGGCCACTGCGTTTATCTGCGTACTCCAGCTACATCGCTATAGGGAACAACTCACAATTAGACATCTGAGAAATAACCTCGTCCAATATATGACGTCATCAAGTAGCGAGCGCCCATTCGAATCTCTAGAATCTCTACGTTCTTCATTGTTCTTTGCGATTTATCGCTTAGGCATCTTACATATTTGTATACTGGCACTTATTGGAGGTTCAACTGTGGTCGCCGGTGGACGTCGGCGTTTTTTACAAAGTTCGTAAGAACCTGTAACTCTTCTGATGTAGGTTTCTACAAACATTATTTCTCTCTTCTTCTCTGGAGGGTACGAAAAGACCACATACGTACCTACACATCATACGTGAACGTGAATTAAATATCAGTTGTGTTCCTCCTGTGCCCTGATAAGCTCAATAGTCTCCTTTCCCGATGTTCCAATATACTGCAATTCATGATGTTGAGACTCTTGCTCCCTTAGGGCTCAGTCACACATTCAGGACGTTTCCTGCCGTCCTTGAAGGACCATTCCCGATTAAAATTTGTCAAAAGTGTGATCAAGATCCTGTGATTCGTGCCTTGAAATTCACAATCAGATGTTGTTCAGGAAGCGTCCCGATTCAGCCGTTTCCCGCCGAATCCGTCCCGATTATATCGTTCTCAAGCCGAATCTGATCCGATTTGTATCTTCCGCATGGTAACAAACGACCGAATCTGTCCCGACAGCGTCCCGATTCTCCCGAATGCGATCCGACAGTGACCGGACAGTGAACCGACAAAGACGGTTCGCGTTCGGCAAGATCTGGACGCAATCTGGACTCAATCGACAAGACAGCGTCCCGATCCACAGGACACCGTCCAGACAACACAGGACATTGTTACGATCCGAAACAGCAGAATCTGTCACGACATAGTTACGATTGTAATCAGTGTTTCCCCAGTGTTACGGGACGCACCATACTGTCGGGAGTGCTTGGCCGACCTCTATCGACCTTTCCCGATCCGTAGGACTCTGTTACGAACTTATATGACTGCGTTCAGACAATGATAGGACATTCCAGACCATTGAGGATAGTAATCCAACTTTTTCACTTTTCGTGTCGTAAAGCTGTCGAATCTCAAACGG